TACCGATGGCTGTCATGTCATGATGTTTAGAGGTTTCAACGGCATATTTGATATGAATCACCCCCTAGACCCTCCTCTGCACCCTCCTAGGTCTGTATTGCGTTGCTTCTGGCAATAATTATATATTTTCTTACGTTCGAATTTTATTTGACAGTTGAAGTTATTTTTTTAAATAATTAATAGTTAATATTTAAAAATTAATAATATTTGTAATTTAAATATATAGTTTGTTTAATTAAATTTAATAATTAATAATTATTTCTAAAAAATTAATCACGTATTGGCATATTTCCGTTTTTATGGGTCAATAACAATGCTTTTTCTGATTTGTTTTTCCCGCTCAGCGGGAAGCTGTTCCCTGCTTAGCATTACTTGAATGAAAGTGGTAGTGTTGGTTACAGAGTGCAATTGACGAGTGTCCTTAGCATTGCTCATCAATTTTTTACCCTCACCAGTAGACGTCATTGTCATATCTTTGATGTCTAGAGATTTCAAGGGACACATTGCACATGGTTACTGAGCTCTAGGCCCTCACCGGCCGACGATGTCAGACGCTGGTAATAAATGTACAAGCTGGCATTTTCTGTTTTATATGGATCAATAATTATTTCTTCTGAATTATTTGTCCTACTTTCACAGAAGTTTGATCCCTGCTCAGCTTTGCTTGCTTGAGGTTTGAAAGGCAAGCAATTCCATTAACATTTTGAAAACGGGGCCATGATATTGACAAGAGAGAAAGGAATCCGAGGCAGACAAAAATATCTGAGAATAGAGAAACAATTGTGCATGAAAATAAAAAAATCACAAGATTATATTAAATTATAATAATCAATAAAATTAACATAATTACAATATTATTTTGTAATATTCACGTGAGAATATCACGGTCTGTATATATACTAATTTACGTTGTTAAGTAAAAAATTTTGTTATAAACAAAATTATGGTAAATAATTTTAAAGAATAAAAATAGAATTATAGACATTTTAATTGTGGTAAATGATTTTTTAATTGGTTTATATTTTTTAATTATACTCATTTTAATTATTAATTTTTTAATTTAATAATCAAAATTTAAATTATTTAAAATTGATTTAATTTAATTTTTAATCAACTAAATTTAAAACTCAATTAAAACTTAATTATCGACAACAATTTTGTTTATCTTTAAATTTTGTTAGATTATA